TCTGGATGTATAGAAGACAATATAAAAAGTTTGAAATCTTACAGGTTTTGATCCAAATTTTACACCAATTCAGTCTGGTTAAACTTAMCTATTATCATGTCATCATAACTGATCACAACATCTTCAGCGTCTTAAAACTTTCTAAAAAAAACTATTTAAAACTATTCACAAAGATCATTGCCAGAAGTTCCGAACCGTTTTGGGCCGAGCTAATTATTTATAAGTTTTTGCCGCGTCAATAAAGCAATTGTTTTCTCCGCTTATGATCGGACTCTGAAATCACATGACGCAAGGGGTTTTCTCTTCGATAATGGGCCGAGATAATGGCGTCTCTTCACAAAAATCAGGGGYGGATTTAGACCAGTTCAACTAGTTTCCGGAAACTAGTCAGATTTTTCCCAAAGAGTGATACTTTAAAAAAGAAACTAGACGCTCTTAAAGCGTGAAGTCGGACTAGCTATTTTTAAAAATTGAGAAAGACATGGGTGCGCGTATAGGCGACCGAGAGAAAGGTTTTTTAAAAGCACAATAAGATTATGATGTTATATTCTGTCTATCATATGATTATATGTGAGTGTAAATTATGACGTAGAATATTTTTTTTTTACTTTTAATACATAGTGAAAGCAAGAATGGGCTACTTTCACTTTAATTAATGTACTGTTCAAAATTCTAATTGTTTATTCACACGCTACGATATCCTTTTTCTTTTGACGACTTTCTGCAGCGACGTCAAAACGATAGAATTCCAAAATAGCCCGACTTCACGCTCTAACAGCAGCGTCTAGTTCAAAATATGCAAAATTCCGTAAGACTTACTGGAAATAAATTTGACCTAAAAGGTCATGTAATGAACACCGTTGAGATAATTTAACAATTTTTAATGCAATGTTAAAAAGACTAGACCCTGACAGCAGGGTGTACTCGTGCCCTAAAGGTGTTGAAAAGTGCTGTCTTATTCAGTACTTTTTCAAAATGAGCTCATTTAAAACTTTTCTTGTGTTTGACCAACCATTACTGTCTTTCTCAATTTTCAAAAATAGTTCGACCGAGTTGGCGCTCTAAGGAGGATCTGGTTTAGATGTAAAGAATAGTGCTACCAAAGGCATGCAGTTCATCTATACTGATAAATCACAAAGTGATTTGATATCAAACTATATTAAGAGAAAACATTTGTGAAAGTAACTCCTTGTTGATTACTTTTCATGTAATATTTAGCAGCTTTTGAAGGAACTAGATATACAATAATTTTTGATAAATCTTTAAAAGCAAAGAATCAAATCGTTCACTCTGATAGTCTTTCGCGTGAAAC